AGAAAAAGAAAAACAAAACAAGCCAAAAAAAAAGCCAACAACAAGAGCCAGGAGTTTTCTAACCAATGATGTTGCTAATTGTATATATGTACCTGCATGCGCGAACTGGAAACCTAGGTAGAACTACTATTTTTATGGAGTTTAAGGAGTGAAAAGGCAAAATATGGGAGGAACACAGTGTAGAAAATGAATGTTGGTGTTCTTTTGAATATTTCTGGTGCTTAATCTCCCTGCCTGTTTGGGTTTCCTGTTTTTTCTATTAAGCATTTATTTGTTTAATTTTTGCATTGCAATTTTTTTCTCTCTCTGGTAATTTAACTTATTCATGGATAGTTACTTACTTCATCTGGTAGCAGTACATATTAATACAATCATTGTAAAATCTCTTGTAGTCTTTGCCGCATACTGCTGTCAACATCATCCTCAATAAATCAGTATTGATTTTCCATTTGTGCTTTGCCTTTTTTGTCGGAATCATAGGCCATTTTTTTTAACTTTCAATGTTTACCCTGCTGAAAGATCTACTTTGTCATGGTGAATTCTAGGGAGAGTTGTCAGTGTGTGAATGTGTAGATGTGTTTGTGTGTGAATCTGTAGACTTATGTGAATGTGTGGTGTGTGTGTGAATTTGTAGGGATGTGTGTGTGAATGTGTAAGTATATGTGTGAATGTGTAGGTGTTGGGAATGTGTCGGGTGTGCGTGAATGTGTAGGTGTGTGTGAATGGATAGGGTGTATGTGTATGTATAGGTGTGTGTGTGGGAATGTGCAAGTGTGTGTGTAAATGTGTAAGTATATGTGTGAATGTGTAGGGTGTCTGTGAATGTGTAGGGGTGTGTGTGTGAATGTGTAGGTGTGTGTGAATGTGTAGGGGTGTGTGTGTGTGAATGTGTAGGTGTGTGTGTGAATGTGTGGGTGTGTGTGTGAATGTGTAGGTGTGTATGAATGTGTAGGGGTGTGTGTGTGAATGTGTAGGTGTGTGTGAATGTGTAGGGGTGTGTGTGTGTGAATGTGTAAGTGTGTGTGTGTGAATGTGTAGGTGTGTATGAATGTGTAGGGGTGTGTGTGTGAATGTGTAGGTGTGTGTGAATGTGTAGGGGTGTGTGTGTGTGAATGTGTAGGTGTGTGTGAATGTGTAGGGGTGTGTGTGTGAATGTGTAGGTGTGTGTGAATGTGTAGGTGTGTGTAGGGGAAGGTGTAAGTGTGTGAGTGGGAATGTGTAGGGGTGTGTGTGTGTGTTTCGAATTGTAAAAAATTTGCATTCAGCATGTTAAAACTGAACTGTCTTCACTTCAGTTATATTAAAGTCCCCAAAGGAGAGAAAAGTATGATAAAGACAAAACAACAAAGCAGTTATATCCTAGTTTGCAAGTAATCCCCAAGATTACAGAAAGAAGGGAGGAAAAGAAAGAGTGAGACCTGCTCTCTTTTCTATTTTCCTTTTCTCGCTTCTCTAAGGGAATCAAGGAGTGAGAAGATGTTGAAGAAACAGGTAGGGCATACGCGGATGACATTGGTGTGCTTTTCTGTATTTCATCTGTTGTACATTTTCCACTCATTCTGAAGGGTCCCAGTTTGACAGAGAGCAAGTGAGGAGCAGAGAGATCAAAGAATCAAATGCAGACCTTTTTCTTTTCTGTTACCCCACTGATCTATAACTCAAAAGCTATTATTTTTTCATTTAGATTTTTTTTAGATTTATGACTTAATTGAATGACCATACATCTTTACTGTGTAACTCATAAGCTTTTAAACTTAAGGCAGACCCTAAATGAGAAATAAATATTATTTTAATCCTTTTTTGATATAGTATAAAAATTTTAATTCCTGAACTTTATTTGATTTAAATGTGACTTTAAAAGCAATATAGTAATAATAAAATTTCATGTGGGAGGAGAGAAGACCTAGGAAAAAGCAAATCAAGAAATGAGAATTCC